TAGAAAATGCAAATCAGATATAGAGAGAAAAGACAAAAAATAAGCAAAGGCATTGAATAAATTTTTCTCTAGATTAAAAAAACAAGATCTCAACGATAATCAGCATCAATTTCAGGCAAGAAATAATATAATAGTGCAATTTATTACTATCAAGTTAGTTAATAAATATAATAATAATAATTTAGAGAGATAATAGACCGTTATTTAAGCTTTAATAACCATTGTGTGCTATTTTCACAATACTTTTTTACTGATATTAGGTGTTGGGTGTGCTTTCAACCATATTTATAAATCATAACAAAAATAAAAAATAAAATAACTTGTACTCTAGGAGCAGAAGATATTAGAAGAAAATCCACAGTCTCAAGTTTTAAAATACATTCCTTCTTGAATCTTTTTCTCTAAGAGAACGCTTACATTACCAACCAAGATACAGTAGAAAGCTTTCAAAAGTACAAAGTCTTGTTTTAAAATAAAAACTTTAATTTTAACTCCTCTCTAACTAAATCTATTTTGAGCCTAGTTAAAAAAATCTGCTGCAAATTTTAAAATGTTTTTAAAAATATAACTAAATAATGCCAAGGTATTTTTTTTTCCATTTATTTATGTGTATCACTTAAACAAACGTAAATTGTATAAGATTACAAAGGATTTAAGCAGACTTTTCCACCACATTAGTCCTTATTTATTAAAAAACTTTATTTTCAGTTAAATGTTTACAATAGTTTTAAAAAATATATAAAAATAAAATCAACACATTAAACTCTAAGTGAGTTAAAAAAAATTAAATCAAATTACAATTGTATATTTGTATGCTTATAAATATATATTACAATTCTGGAAGTTAGTAAACAAAATAAAATGAATGATAATAAATACTGCAAATTAATTATTTTTGGTGTAAAAATAAAAAACAAAAATACAAAAATAAAAGATAAAATATAAAAAAATACTTTTAACAAATTTTACAAACAAGAGATTTTTTATGCCATTTTAAAAAAATGTAAAAAGTAGGGTTATGTAAGTTAGAAAAATCAACTGAAAACCTTTGTAATATTCATCCTTCATCCAGTATTAAAAATGAACTTTAAAAATAATGTTGTTTTTGTTTAAAACCTCAATTAGTAAAATAATCATTGTTATTGTTTCAGAACTCTGGTGCCAAAGAAAATGCGGTCACTTCATCATTATCATGGGACTCACTTGAAAACTGCATTTGTCTTCAAGCAAGTCCCATGATAATGATGAAGTGTCTTCAATGTGACCAGTCAGAATCACAGATGATATTCATCAAGTGCTTGTTGTAAAAGGACCAGTACAGGTTAAAAATATTAATTTTTCTATTGACAGTAGTTCAGGCAGACGTTTTACAGTTGTCAATTACAAAAATAAGTTGCCGAATGGAGAAGACATTGACAGGGATTGGCTAGTGTATTTAATATCTAAAAACTCAGTTTTTTTTTTTTTTTTGAAAACTATTTAGTATTGATGACATATATCTTTCTGGAACAGAGGGGTACTCTGATTGGCAAAACATGTCAAATATTTTATGTGAATGAAAGGTCAACCTCTCACATGAAAGGTCAACCTCTCACAAAAATGCGACCATTTCTTATCGAGAACTTGCCACAAGGTTGCAATTAGCCCATACTATTGATTCTCAACATCAATGTATGATTCAAGCTGAAACTGACAATTGGTATGCAGTTTTAAAATGACTTATTTGTATTGTGCTATTCCTTGGTACTCAAGGATTATCTTTTTTTCAAGTGTGAACTGCAGAAAGCTTTGTATTATTCTATAAATCTTGACTGCACTCCTGACATAAGTCATGAAGAACAAATGACTCTTGTAGTTTGGTTTGTCTATGCAGTTCCAGGTGAAGAAGTAAACATAAGGGAACATTTTCTTGCATTTGTTCAGGTCTCAGATACATCTGGGCAAGGCTTGACAGCTTGCTTGTTAGACGAGCTTTCAATGAAGGAATATCTTAACAAAATATGCGTGGCCAAGGTTACGATAATTGATCAAATATGAAGGGAAAGAATGAAGGAGTTCAAAAAAGGATCCTTGGCCTTAACCCACAAGCTTTTTTTGTTCCTTCTGGAAGTCATTCATTAAACCTTGTTGTCATTGACGCAGCACTTTCCTGCACTTTAGCTGTTAACTTTTTCAACAATATACAGGAGCTTTATAACTTTTTGTCTGGATCAAACCATAGATGGAATATATTAATAAACCATGTAACTAACTTTACTGTAAGTGAAACCCGTTGGGAGAAAAGGATGGATGTCCTTGAATCTTTGCGATGCCACGTTGATGAGATTTATGACGCTGTCTATGAATTAACATTAGATTTTAAGATCGATGCTTTTGGAAAATGCACTGCTATGAGAATTGCCAAAAAAATTACAAATTTGAAATTCCTCTGCTGTTTGGTCACTTGGCTTATTTTGTTCAAAATTAATTTAGTAAGCAAAACACTTCAGATGAAAACTAT